GCCTGGGTCTCCCAGGAAGACTAAATCACCCCTTATTTTCACCACCAGATGCTATGCAGGCTCCTCTTCCCATCTCTGTTGCTCTGATTTGGGGATCCCTATGTGGGGTTCATACCCCATGATCCTGGGAGTAAAAAGTTTTGCAGCTGCAATATCCTTCCAGCTTTTCATCTTCTGTGCATCTGGCCTTCTTACCAGTCTCTATGTGGATTCCTCTATAAATCCTTGGTTATAATATTTCGGTTCATCCAGTCTTCAGTTGGTTATTCAGGTTGATTGATCTATAATTTAGCTGTAAGTCCAATTAAGGGCTGGGAGCAGGTGTGTGTAGCTTTCACCTACTCTGCAACCATCTTAAAATCTCCTCTCCTCATAGTTCTTGTCAGGAGAAAAAAATATAGACCTACAAAAGAACACTGCTTTCCCAAATTTTCTTCAATACATTTGCATTTTAATATGTATACAGGAATTCTTAGCTATGTATCATATTACTGCTTTCCCTAAGACTACTTGTGCTACTTGGCCTCCAACTGCACAGATCCCCTATGTATTTCTTTTATTTCTTAAGCATGGTATTGAAGGAAAGTGAATGTTCTTAAAATTTTCAGTTCCCTTTGAAATGTATTCTTCATTACTATTTTCTCTTATAACATAACAGATTTTATACTCTACTCTCTAATATAGGTGAAACATAAATTAAAAATATATGTACTGTTTTCTCCTGTAAAATTAGTAAAATAAATGCTGAAAGGGGGATAACAAAGGTAGTAGTGACCCACGTTGCTTTCTAGTGCTGAAACTAATGAGCATCTTTGGGAAAACAACTTGTTCATCCCAGGTTAGTCTGGTAGAGGGACCTGCTCATGCAGTCCCTTGAGCCCAAGCTGGCAATGCATAGAATGCTGCACCTGTGAAGGGGACCAACCAACATTTTGCCACCCAAAAACTGCGGTATTGATTTTAAGCTGGTTGTTAAGAAAGGACTCAGAAAGAACATTTGACCCTCCCCCTTTCCTGCCCAAGAGGTTCAGATGGAAAGACCTGTTCCAGAAATCTTACTATATTTACTTTAGCTTAATTTAAATCAATATGCTAGATAAGAAAGCTCCCAGCAGGGGCTTGGTTGCCAAATCATGCTCTGTACCCCATTGCTTCTAGTACTGCCCCAGGAAGAACTTGCCAGCCATGTGTGCTCTGCACTTCCTCAGCTACCTACAAATCACTCACTTTCGTTTTTAAGTCGAAGACCCTGTTCCGACCCTCTCTCTTTTTTCTAAAATGACATATAGACCTAATTGTGCTTCACTGTCTTTGGAATTTTGGGGCTTATGCGAATTCCCCATAGGCACATATTAAAATTTGATTTTTTCCCTGTTAATCTGATGTATGATGTTTGAATTATTAGACCAGCTAGAAGAGGGTAGAAGGTGGGATAAAAATATAGTTTTTGGCTCCCATAGTGGCATGTGTTGTATCTTCAATGCACTTTCTTTCTTCAGGGTCCTTAAAAGCCATCCTCATATCTATTCTCTGCCTGATCTCAAGTTCTGTGTAGGCCTGTGGACTGATGATCTCTTGAAATGTGCTATCTGAGCTGACCACATCACAACTCAGAGACAAAATGTCCTATATACACACCTTCTTTATTAAAAAATGGGGTGAGTATAAAAAGACGCTTCCCCATATCTTATTGGGGTCTCTGTGGGAATGATCCAGTGGGCCCACCCTCTGCTGCCCTGTGTAAACATACAAAATGTCATGTTGGGAGGGGAAGTCTGGAGAAAGGAGGGGGGGAGAGAGAAACGAAGTAAAATTATCTGTACCCAAAGGTCTTTCAAGTACTGGAATCCTTACAGTTAGTAATTTCTTTCTTGTTATTTTAATCCTAATAAATCCAATCAAAGGAAGGGTGGGAGGAGCACAGGAACAAAGTTTACTTTAATGTTGTTTTCATAGTAAACAATGGGAAAGAATGTAAATGTCTACTAGGAGGGAAAGCACAAAAAAATTGTGAAGTGGCCACTTTGTGGACCTTGATGCTATCTCCTGAATGAGTTTGTGGAGATTATAGATCAGACAGAAAATGCTATTGATCATGTATTTAGTGAAAGAGAAAAAGAAAAAAGTGTGTTTTCTGCTGCAACCCCGTAAAATGCACAGGGACTGGCAAAGACGCTCTTTTTGAGCAAACTTTAATTTTTTAAAAATTGATTTTAGAGAGGGAGGGAGAGAGAGCAAGCAAAAGAAGCATTGATGTGAGAGAGATACATCGATTGGTTGCCTCCCGTACGGGTCCCAACTGGGGATCAAACCTGCAACCTGGGTGTGTGCCCTGACCAGGAATCAAACCCGAGACCCATGGTGCACAGGACGCTCCAAAAAACTGAGCCACAGCGGCCAGGGCTTGACCAGACTTTACACAGGCTCCTCTGAGCCTTCTTTCCACAAGACCTCAACTTTGGTTTACAAAAACTGCAGATTGATTCTCAGTACAAATGATTTCATCTACTCATCCACCACAGCCACACTAAAAGATGAGCAAACTCTAACATAGTTTCTGGGAGCTCAAGACTGTACCCCTAGGATGACCTTGGGCCCACTTAAAGGGCCTGCCTGAAAACAAACAAGTCCCTCAAAGCCTCCAAAAGAATGTACTCTTTGTTCTAACCAACACTTGAGCATGGACCCCTGATCTCCCTTTTCCAGATCATTTCCTAAAAGGGGCTTCCAACTGTAAACTCCCTTTGTCCCTCTGAGGTGTATATGCATCTCCTACAACTCAGGGGTGTCTCACAAGGACCTGGAAGACATTTCTTTGAAATGTAATCAGTAGGAAGGATAGTGCCTCTGTCCCCATTCTCTGTGGAAGTCTATAATCCTAAACTCAATAACTGTCAGCTCGTAGACACTAAGTGTTGGCTTGATTGCATTACACTGATCAGCTCTGTAATTTTTCACTCACTTGTAGATGAAAAGGGCCACATACTAACCCTGACAACCTGGGGGGGCGGGGAGGGAGGCCTGCATGGCAGCCTTACAAACTCAGAGACCTAAAGCAACCACATACGATGGCCTGAAATTAACTTTCTAACCAAAAACGAGTCCTGGTGGGCAGTCATGTCCTAGGCCGGTATCTTCCCTGACAAAGGTCAATCTTTGCTCTAACTGAGCTTGTTTGTTATAGTTTTGCATGTAAGATAACATACTTTTGGGATGTCAGGGTAATTTCTTCCCCCCTCACCCCGCTCCTCACTGCACCAGAGCAGAGGCTACAAATCCTCTCATTGTTATTGTTATTGTTATTGTGTTAATTGTTGACTATCCTATACCCACAGATGTAAAAGAAATATGGGTCTATTTGTTTTACTTTTTTATCTAATCCCAGAGATTTCCTGCTTTGCATTCTCCAGCCCCCGCTAATCTATCACCAATGGATTTAATGTAACCCCTTTACTACTCCTCTTTTGATTGTAATGTATAAAACAGGGTGCAAAACTGCCATTCCCTGGAGCGTTTTCTCAACTCTTGAGATATTGCTTCCCTGGTAGCTATGGTCAGTTTGGCTCAAATAAACTCATAAAAATTCTCTACAGGTTTAAACATTTCTTAGGTGGACACACCTGATTCTATTAAGCCCCCATTGTTCCCCCTACCCCATTCTCTCATTCTTTCTTTAAAACACCCGGTCACCTCTGTACAAACTGGAGTTGAGTTCAGTTCACACTGGACCCTCTCCTATAATGCAATAGTATATTACTGATTACAGTTTTTCTTTAATGTTTGAACTAAGGGCTGACTTTGTGTATCTCTGACAGGTCCATCTGCTAAGTAACGGAAGCCCTCCATCACTGCATTGGTTTTAGGGTGGTGGGGTAATACTCACTAGAAATCATCAGCAAAAGCCTGCTCTCTATGCAAAGCCATGGTTACAAGTTAAACACAACCTCACTGTGAAGCAATTCTGATTTACGAATTCCGCATTAAAAGTCTCAGTACATCTGTTATGCCCAGCATAATGGTAACTGTTTGGGTAATGACATCTTCGAGTTACAAATGATGTATAAACTCCCAGTGATTTACGCATTTGGAGGGGCGGAATGTGTCCTGGGCGACTGCCTATTATACTCAAATGCTAGGTTTATTCCGTGCCTCTGTTCCTTCGTTTTGTGCCCGAGAAACTAGAAGTGCAACCTTGTGTGGGGGCAGAATTTCTAAGCTGAGAGAAATATTCCAGTGTGTCTTAAACAGTATGCATTTGCCTTTAATGTAGTGTTTTGCGGTATACCTCAGAAGTGGTTTAAGTTACTTTAGAAAGGTGTAGGATTCAAAGAGTTTGCATTTAACTTCAAGCTGTTGCTAGGAAGTACTGACCGCGGGACCACAACTGTCACCTCCCCCCTCTCTCACCTTGGACTTCTCTCATACCCCTTACCCTGGAGGTGCAGTCTTAGGATTCATGACTTCACTCCTGTTTGGTCTAGTCTCTGCCCTTTGTCCTCTGACTATCTGATGAACCTTTCCTATTCTTCAAAACTCATCCAGACTTTGCTAAGAGGCGGCCCCAGTACTTCCCCTACCCCTCTCCTCATTCCGCTTTGGTCTCTTCTTCGGTTTCCGTTGCAGTATCAACCAGCTGAGCCCACACACCTCTGGTTCTTATTACACACCAGTTCCCATATGGAAGGGCTTACATCCCTGGGCCCAGCACAGTTTCTGCCACAGAGTAAGGGTTCAGGAACTGACTGTGGAACGAACAACTGAAGCGCTTTGTGCTGCAGGAGACTAACGCATTTGACCCATTGTAATCAAGAGCTGAGGTTTGATTTCCCTCTATTATCCAGTACATGCATTCATTCATGTGCACACATCGAACTGCAAGACGAGTTAAGGGAAAATCTACAAAGTACTGAAAAATATATATACAAGTCTGATCGCAGGCTGCCCATCCCCGTCTGGACTGGCAGCACTCAGGTGGACAGATGCAGAGACACATAACTTACATTTTGCAGCTGGACGTGATTCTTTGCCAAGTGTTCTGACTTTGCCATTGAGCTGGATGCTTTGAGACTGTAGTTTTTACCATTCTGTGGCTCTCTCAGCTGCTCTTGAATTTGTTTAGCTTGTTTTCTGCAGGTTTAAATAAATAAATGTATAAATAGTTACATAAATTTATGCTATGCATATTTTTTATTTCATCCATTCTTATCATCTATATTTGTCATTTATCATCTACATTTGTCATCTATATTTGCCATAAGGCTAGATTAAACTCAGTTTAATTCTCTTTTAAAAGAGAATCCTCCCCTTATTTTTAACTCCATCAAGAACTACTTCTAATTTGGAGAGGAGGCAGCACTACCCATCATCACCCAGAGACTCTCACCCAGGGGTGCTCTGAAGGCAGACAGAACGTTATGCATGGCCACTGCCCTTGTGGATGCAAGAGGCCGCTCACCCTGAGTAGTCAGCTGCAGAGTTAGAAATGGCCAGTGGGAAAGAAGTGACCAGCGGGAAATGTGAAGCTTGGACCCAACAGCCAAGTGTAACATACTTACTTGCAAAGGTTCATTTTTATCTGTATAATCTAAATACGTGTAACTTGGTTGCATGGCTGGCAGGTGTGCCATAAGGTGTGTATACTTTCTTTTTTACAGTTTAGAAACAAATTATTATTATCATCAACCCTGGATATAAAGGCTTTTATCCCTTTGTAAAAAATTTTTTGTAACCAACAAAAACAGTTAATTCTTAAAGAGCACCTACTATGTGCCAAACATCATTTTAAGTGTTTTTCATCCGTCAATTCACTTATTCGTCACAATAATTCTGTGCGATGAGGCATTAATTCTGTACTCATTTAGTAGATGAGAAAACTGAGGCACAGAAAGTTAAATTATCTGCCCACATTCACATAGCTAGTAAGGGGTAAGGCTGGGTTTGAACCCAGTTAGTGTGGCTGCATAGTCTGTGCCCTTAACCACCACTCAGAGCCGTCAAACCATTACCCGTGGTCCCACAGCTTCTCAGTGGGAGAGCCGAGCCTTCTCTCAGCTTCTGAACTCCAAATAAAGGACTCCCGCCTGCATACGTGGAGTGGCTGCTGTTCGAGTCATTCCCGGGCTGGCTATCCCAGCAAGATGCAACAAATTACTGCATTATTAGCAGCTCTCTCCCAAGAGCTCGGCGGCAATTATCTATCAGCAGAAGACTCAGCACCAATAAAACAAACAAACAAATGAAAGCAAGCAAACAGAAAACCTTTGCAGAATCATCTGCGCTGAACTCTGCCTCTTTCCCAAGGCCCTGCCAAGGTGCAGGCCCTTGGTGGAGTAGGACACGCTGGCTCCTGCAGGGAGCTTCTCCAGTGCTCCACAGAGCTGGGGCTCAGGTATCAGAGGGACTGGGATTTGCATCCCAGCTCTGCCACCCACCAATTTTGTTTTGATTTCCTAAATAAATTTTAAAAATTGATTTCCTAACCGCCTCTGAGCCTCAGTTTCTTCATCTGCAAATGGAGCTTGTAAAAGCTACCTGCCATGCATACTGGGGAAACTAAACGTGAGAGCACACGAGGAGTGCTGAGCTCGTCCCTCCTCCTCATCTCGCAAAAGCTTGTAGGAGCAGACACTGCAGAGGAATTAGAACACTGGCTCAGAGGGAAAGGAAAGGGTTGTGTTAACTGCATCTCTCACAGAACATCTCAGCATTTGCCATGGGACTTGGAGGTTCTGAGCATCATTACTTCTTTTGAATTTACAACACCAGCGTGATGTAGTCCTTTTAAATATTTCTTTCACCTTTTCAATTATTCGGGGGCCTTTATCTCCAGCACTCTTAGTCGCTTTAATCCAGTTGTGATTATCTACCTACTTCCTAACAGCTCATCTGTAGCCTATTGTTAACAATAAGTCAATCATATCAGGGTTTTTAGAAGCACCTGATAGCCGCGGAACCCTATCAGGAATTCACTAATGAGGCAAATGGGAGATCAGAAGGTTCCACCTGATTAAATCATCATGAAGCACTGAGAGGGGACTTACTCTCTTAAGAATTAAATATTAGAGATACTATCTTCCCAGTAATTCCCTAATTCAGTGTTTGGGAAATATAAATGCTAAAGGAGTTGTCTTCATAAATGTTTGACTACAGCTCCTAGACCCTTTTCTAATTTACTTTCCTTTACTAACTTTTCACTCAAGTCGCGACACACAGATACTCCAGGCTAAAGGGGCTCCTCCCCGTGAAGAGGGGGGTGACCTGCCTCCTGCTCTGTGGCCGCCCCTCTCCCAGGCACACGCACAGCTGCTCTTTCCTACTGTCCCCAGTCCCTGCGAACAGAGGGAACGAGCGGAGGGGGGTTTTCGCGGCACCATCAGCCTCTCCTGAGAACAGGGGCTCTCGGGAGGTCAAGGCCCAGGCACTGGGCACGGGAGCCCTGCCAGCCAGCGATTCAGGTATCAACGTCTAGGGTTCACTGGGTTTTAATTTTCTCTGGCCCAGTCCTTCAGGAGGAAATGGAGTGTGGGTTGTGGGATGTCTGATATCACAAGTCTGTTGGTAAACGTCATCCGTGATGTCGCAGGTGGGCCCCAGCGTGAGCAGACTGAGATAGAGAATATGCAGGGATGTTACTAGGGAGGGCCCTTTGGATCAACGCCTGCAGAGGCCAAGGGAAGGAAGCAGGACCGGACCCGAGGAGCAGCTGGAATGCCACACAGATCTCAGCAGATCCCACCGGGAGCCCTGGACACGGCATGGCCTTGCCCCGCAGGCTGGGGCAAAAGTCTGGGCCGCTCTGCGCTCTGCGGGCCTCGCATTGACCTGCCGTTGAATGCGGTCTATCTCAGGTCAGAGCAGGTGCTTGAGAGAGGCAACGCTTATCATAACTGTGTTTTAGCAACTGGGGGACTGAAACCTTCGCTGCTGCGGAGCACCACAGCAGCATATCGGAGCAGTCCCTGCCCGTCCTTAAGAGGCTTTCTTCGTGACCTACAATCTCTTACGTCAAAGGGTGATAGCCAAGGGTCAGAGCAGTTTGCGGCCATTATCTGCTTTTTATCAGTAGCACCCGGTCTCTTTCCTCCTGTGTTTTCCCAGTTGTGATCGTTATGTGCCCAAGCTTCTGCTCCTGGAACATCTCCTCCCCTATGCCATTCCATTCTTAGAGCTGAATCATGCCCTGCATTTCCAAAGTCTACTCAGGACTCCTACAGCCAGTCTCGAACCCTTACTCATGTGAGTTGAAAGGAAAAAGAAAACCTACGAGCACTTATAGTTGCCATGAGAGCCACGTCAGCCAGATTAGAAAGGCTCAATTAACAGCTCTATTAGCTACTTAGGGGAATGTATTGATTTATTGGGAGTGATGGGAATTTCTTTCATTGTGTTCTTCAGAGTTGTTGGGGCTTAATTAATTCAGTTAGAACATCCTCTAAGTTCAAGAAGGTGTCCTTCATGTCTACCTCATCATATTACCACCTTCAAACTTCCATCAGCTAACAACCTGCTATAATACTCTATCTGGCGAGATCATGCCAAACCAAGGGCGAGAAGAGAATGGAGGAAAGGCCAGAGTGGTGGGATCTGAGGGGTTGTGGGAACTAAAACATAAAAGACCAAGAGAACATGAGCTTTCGGGTAACTCCTGGCTCTCTTGCCAGAAACAGTCCGCCCTGGTATATAGGATGGCGGGGCAAGTGCATTTCTTTGGAAACCGATAATAGAGAGGTCCTGGCATCCTAGAAGACTTGGGGCTTCTGAGATGAAGTAAAGAGCTTATACACATGGAAACAACCTTACACTATGTATGAGAGTGAGGAAAGGTCAAGGTGGAGTCTGCTCAAGGTTTTGGGAGGGGACTTAGAATTCCATAATGAACACAGAGAATATCACATCAGGGTGTTATAAAAGTGTACGTCGCCTTCAGCTATGGAGATCAGATGCTTGGTGAGGGGCGCGGCTCCCTCTCGGGCAGAGAAGAGTAAAGGAAGGCCGTGCCTGGAAACTGTACTGGAGAAAGAAACGTCCTCTCAGTGAGAACTGTGCCTCCGCTTGGGAAAGGCTTTAGTGTCTATTATTTATTCTTCTCACATTTTCTTATTTATTTATTTTCTAATGAAAACGTGTCCCAGCTGGGGAGGCAGAAAGACAGCATCCTGAATACTGCTCCTCCACTGGCCCAGCCCTCCGAGCTGCCCAAGGTGAGTCTGATATCGAGCAGTGTTTCCATGAAACTCCAGGGCTGCTCGCTGAGCCGCAGGAGCAGATGTTGGTCTCAGGGCCCACTGCTGCCCACGGAGGGAAAGATTGACAGCCCCCAGGACCAAAGTCCCAGTTACCCAGCTCTTCTCTAGTCTTGTGAGTGTGATACTCAGCCTTCCATTTAAAAGTGGTACAACTACAAATCACACTCTAAAAATAGGTAATTAAGTACTTCTTCATAGTAATTTGCTCATTGTTAAATACACCATTTCTTTCTTGCACACAGCACGTGCGAGGAGAGCCTTGTACCTGTCTGTCCAGGTGATTGCCCCTCCCCTGCTCCTGCGCCCAATCTGCACCTGAGGTCACCCGGCCTCTATGTTCCGGAGTGGAAAATGGAGCTGTTAACAATAGCTAGCCCTCATGAGCATTTACTCTTTTATACACTATGGTGTCCTTTTGACAGTATTACCCCATGAATCCTTAACACATTCTAGAAGGGAATTTATTTTTGGCTATATTTTACCAAAAAGGAAACCAAAGGTAAGGGGCTGGATGTAATTCGCTTGCTAATACACAACAAGCAAGTGGCAGCCTGAAAATCTGAACACCAGCCTGGCTGACACATGTAAAATCCTGACCACGATGCCATCCATGTAGCCTCCCTGGAGAAATGAATGAAAGGTGCTCAGGGCTGCACCAGGACACAACATTCCTGATTCAGGCCAACCAGGTTCAGTACCCAGGGAAAAAATGATATGAGCCAACATGGTGGAGTGGGTACAGCATGTGACTTAAACTAGAACCGCGGGGATGCAAAGAACCAATCTGTGGGGAAGACATATAAATATCCAATCCCTATGTTATATAACCTGAAACTAATATAATATTGTATGTCAGCTGCAATTAAAAAATAATAAAAATTATTTTTGAAAAAACACAAAGACCCCAGTTCCAATTGTCTTAAGGATCGGGAGCCCAGTGTCTCTGACAAAGAATAAGTGTTTTAAAATAAGCACAGACATCTGAAACCTATATAATCCTATTAACCAATGTCACCCTAATACATTCAATTAAAAATTTAAAAATATAAAAATTTGAAATAAAAAAAAATTGAACACCAATAACTGTCACAACCAAGAGTTGCCTAGGAGATGTGATAATTAAATGTAATGTGGCCCTGTAACAAAAAAAGCACATTAGGTGAAAACTAAAGAAACCTGGAAGTATGAACTTTAGTTAGTAGTACTGTATCAGTATTAAATGCATCATATTAATATAAGACAATAACAAGGGAAACTGAGTCTGGGTATGTGGAATCTATCTGTACTATTTTCACAGTAATTCTGAAAATCTAAACCTATTTTAAACTAGTATATTAAAAAATAATAGTTACTAATTCTGGGTTCATACCTGAGTTTCGTTATTTTAAAAAAATTCAACATACACGCAGACAGGTATCTGGAAATTGACCATATCTGGAAATTGATCCATTTTTAGAACAGCAAATGGATAGAAAAATATATGTGCATTGAAAAGCAATCATGCTTTGGCTTGGGTTTCAGACAAGCTATAGGAACAGAATCAGTGCCAACTTATTCAGGCTTACATGCCTTATAAGAAACCAAGAAATTTAGCATTTTTAGCTGGATTTCTTAGTTTAAGTGAAGATTACGCTATTTCTATTAAAAAAAAATACCTGTATCAAAATTCATTTAAAATAAAGATATATGCACATACATGTTTATACTTATATACTTATATATGTGTTTATGTATTATATTTTTAGCCTACTTTATTAGTCAGAAATAAGTACTTTTATCTGCAGAAGGTCTGGTTTCTTGGCAAAGGGAATATAGGGCATATTTGAGATATGCATACCAACTGGTGAACTGAAATAGATTCTATAATATTCATATTTCATATTTGGCTAAAACCTTTATGAGTATCAAGTAAAAAACACTATAAAAAAAGCCTAGATTTTTCTTTTAAGAAAAAAATAGATACTGGTTGATAATGTTTAGCTCTACAGCAGTGACCACTCTGCTCAGAAGAGTTAAGTCCTTAGTCACAGGCAGATGCTGAGCCTTTAATTCTGGCAGGTAATCAACATGTGCAAAAACCACAGGATTTTTATGATCACAGAGAGGAATGATAACTATGTGCACCGAAGATAAACCACGCACACGCACACAAATGCTATAGTGCACTCACCACAGTCTACAAAAGATTCTAAGTCAACGTAGATGTTGGATGGGCCCATTTGCACAAGACCCCTCTGCCAGGAGCGTAGACTGAGAATTTAAAGAAAGACAAAGTACTTCCTCTGAGAAGGAATCTTTTAACGCTTGAGAGAAATGGTCTTACTTGCTTTTGAAGTAGAATGCTGCACAGAACATGCCCACGATGACAATTCCAAAGATGATACATGAAATCGACAGCACCTGCCTTTGATAAACTTCTTCACTCTCTGCAAATGTGAAAAACAAGTAGAACGGATGTTAGCGGGCACAGCAGAGACAGTCTCCATGCTTGTACTTCTGAGAGGGTAGGAACCTTTCAAAGCAAACTTTTTCGTTCCTGTCATGAATAGGAAAACATGTGACACTTAATAGGATTCAATTTCTTCCTTCGCAGTGGTCTCTAGCAGAACTGTTGGCTACTTTTTGTATCTGCATGGCCAAATCAGAACTCACACAGATATTACAATTATGCCTCTTATTATCAAAAGACATTGCATGACTTTAGGGCATACCAGGGACATACATTTTTGACATTATGGTGGAGTTCAAAATAACCTGCTACAGAAACAAATATGGGCCCATCAAAACCTTTCTGTGCCAGTAATGACTGCCAACTTATTTTATGTTATTTGGTCCTTGGCTGTCAACTTCCAGTTCATCCACCCGCTACTATGATTGACATCACTTATGAAAGAGAAGTTCAATGTGCACGTGAATATTTATTCACCTCTTCTGTCACTTCCTCAGTACCCATGATCTGGCACCATAATCTCAAACTCTATTCTCAAGGTCACATTTTATAGCTTCTTATCACATAAAACAACAGAATTCATAAACAAGCATTTCACTTTTCAGCCATGATCGTTCATACTCCCAGCTCATTTTCTGAAATACATTTACTGAAACAGTTCTTCCATCTCATCAAGACCTTTTATCCATAGATCTCAGGACTTTCTTCTGCTATTATCCTCTTCTTGCCGTCATTTCTCTCTTTATACAGCATCCAGACTATGGTCCATGATTACAGTCATTTACTTTCTTGCAGTTACTCTCAACTACGGCACACTTTTCTCCTTCCCTTTTACTCATTTGGCAAAATAACTGTGTACAAATCCAAGAAACTGCCTTCTCCACCCCTGTACCTTGAACAGTTCATAATTGAAGGGAAGATTGCACAATTGGGAAAATAGACACCAATGAAGACTGACAATTGCATTGCTTAAGTAGACATCCAGCAGTGACTAACACTCTCAGCAGCCTGCTTCTCCATTTTCCTAAAGATTATCCATACCTTCCCCACAGTACTCAAACACTGGACTCACCCTCCTCCCTCACTCTCAGATCTTTCACATATGTGATAAAAAAGAAGTCAGTACAGAAGAAATCATATCTACGACACAACGTGCACAAAATTCATTGCATCTCTTATTGATTGATTGATTAATTGATTCTCTTATTAACATAGTGCAGTAGTTCTCAAATGTTAGTGTGCATTGGAGTCGCCTTGAGAGCTTTTGAAGGGCAGCCTGCCCCCTATTTTCCCACCCAGAGTAATTGATTTAGCAGGTTTGAAGTGGAGACAGAACGTGTGCATTTTTAAAAAAATTCTCAAGTGATTCTGATGTTGGTGGGCTGTGAACATACATTGAGAACCTCTGAATAGACTAAGAGTCCTCAGAACACAGATAAACTATAACGGAATAACTGGGGGGGGGAGGGAGGATTTGTTTTCCTTTGTTAATGCCAACTGTGGATCCATTTTGGACTTTCTGAATCAAAATGTTTATTCAAAAGAAAATTCCCAAGTGTTTCTCATGCACACTAAAGTTAGAGAAGGGTTCAATTAGAGAAAATGCTAACTTTTTATGAAAGATTAATTGCTTTAGATCCAATTGTATTCTGTCATCTCAGAGTCTCCACAATCACTGAAAACTGAAGAGAAGGAAAAACATTCCAATTCATTCTATGAAGCTAACATTACCTTTATATAATAACTAGACAAAGACATAAAAAGAAAATAAGTTACAGACATACAGTCCTCATTGACATAGCTTCAAAAATTCGTACCAAAATGTTAGGAAATCAAATCCAGCAAGGTGTTAAAAGGAATACATCATGAGCAAGTGATATTTATATAAGGAATGCAAGGTTGGTTTAATATTTTAAAAAATAATAAATTGATTCACAATTTTAACAGTCAATTAAAATAATTTAATCATTAGATTACAAGGAAATTTTACTTAAAATTTAACATTCATTCCTGATTAAAAGCAGAAGGGAACTTCATCACTCTGATAAAGAATACATATATTAAAAAATCTATACCTAATTGTAAAACACTGAATGCTTTTTCCTTAAGATCAGAAATAAAGCAAGCATATACACTCTCACCTCTTTTATTCAACATTGTATTGGAAGTTTAGTCAATGGATTGAACAAAAATAGGCATTAAATCCATTCAGTTTGAGAAAGTGGAAGAAAAATCATCTTTGCTCTCAGATAACATGATCGTCTCTGCAAAAAGGTGATAGAATGTACAAAGAGCTAGTATAGCTAATTAAGAAGCAGAATATAAGGTTGTAGGATAGAGGATACAAAAATTAAATGTATGTCTATTTAATAACAAGCACTCATAAATTAACATACAATTATTATTTACACGATCATAAAAAATATAAAGCACATAGAGATAGATTTAACAAAATATACACAAGGCCTGTACACTGAAACTACTTAAATATTATTCAAAGAATTTTAAAAACATCTAAATAAATATGTGTCATGTTTATGAATTGAAAGACTCAAAATTATTAAGATGTTAACTTTCCCCAAATTAATAGATAGATTGAATATAATTCTAATGAAGATCTCAGGAGGAATTCTGTTATTGCTGTTGTTATAGAAATTGACAAGCTGATTCTAAATGTTATGTGGAAATATAAAAGATTTAGAGTAGTCAATACAACATTTTGGAAGCCAACAGATCAAAGGTGAAGGGCTTAAACTGCTTTGTTCCAAGACTTATTATGAAGCTATAGTAATCAAGGCAATATGGTATTGGCCTACTTTTAGACAGATTAGTCAAAGGAACAGACAAGAGGTTCCAGGAATATATGCAAAAATATGTGGCCATTTGATCTGTGAAAATATGCCAAGACAATTCAAAGGGAAAAGGGCCTTTTTCAAAAAATGACACTGTAACAATATATCCACAAAAATGAACCCTGGCCTTAGACCTTAATGTAAAATTTTATACTATAAAACTATTAGAAGAAAACATAGGAGAAAATCTTAGTAATCATGGGTTTAGCAAAGATTCCTTAACTACAACACAAAAGATATAATATATGAAAATAATTAAATCAATAACATGGATTTCATCAAAGTTAATAACATTTGCTCTTCAAAATATGAACTTGTATCTATAATATACATTTAACAACACTCACTATTCACCAAAAATATATATTCAATGGCATGGACTTGTATATATAATATTTGTGGATCTCTTACTACTCAATAAAAAGACAAACAACCCCATTTTGAAATGGGCAAAAGATTGGAATGAACACTTCCCCAAATATATAGAGGTGGCAAGTAGGCACATATAAAATGCTGAACGTCATCAGTCATTATGGAATTGAAAATGAACCTGTATTAGGATATATGGCATTCTCACCAGAACGGTTACAAGTAAAGTATGACCATACAAAGGGTGTGGAGCAATTTTAACTCTCACGTACTTCTGGCAGAAATGGAAAATGGTATAACCACTTAAGAAATAGTTTGATGCAAGTTAAGCATGTGTCTACCTTATGACACAGTCATTCCATTCCTAGGTGTTTACCCAAGACTCATGAAAGCATTCGTTATGTAAATACATTTTCATGGCAGCTTTATTTGAAATAGCAAAAAAGTGGAAACAATCCAAGTGCCCAGTAACAGGTGAATGGATCAACAACTTGTTCTATATCCATACAACAGGACATTTTTCAGAAATAAAGAGGAATGAGCTATTGATATAAACAACAATACACATGAACCTCAAATAATTATGCTAAGTGCAACTCAGACCCAAAAAACTATACTTGTTGCATTATCCTAATTGTATAAAACTCTGGAAAATGGAAACCAATCTGTAGTATATAAGAAGCATGCAAGTGGATATCTGGGGTGGGGGGTGGAGGAAAGAGACTATGGAGTGACAGGAGGAAACTTTGGAGATTTATAGATATATTCATTGTGTCAAATATGATAATGCTTCTGTGGGTGAACATTTATGTCAAAATGTATCAAATGATAAATTTTAAATAAGTGTGTTATTTTATGTTAATTATAGTTGCAAATATATTAATCCTGGGAGACAAAGAATGCAGGGACCACATAAAGAATATACGTGATACGAAAGACATACGCCTGCTGCAACGCAAGCCACCTACGCTCTCTCCTCTCCTTTTCCTCCAGCATGTCTGACATCTAACCCCTTAGAGCCTTCATACATGCTGTCCTTTTTCCCTTTCTGAAATATTATTCCATATTTGTTTTTTCCTACTTGCCTTTTGATCTCAAATTAAATGTCACTAGCTCAAGAAACCTTGCACTGCCCTGTAAGCATCATTGGTGCAGGAGACCATGTTTTTGTTGATTTACTCATTAGACTCGCCCCTGTTTCTCTAGCACCATGTTCAGTTCTTCCCACATGGTTGACACCCTAAGACTTGTTAGCTAATAAATAAATAGAAATTTCAGGCTTTATAGGGATTTTCTGCTTTATGCTGTTAATGAAATATCAACTCTCGCCTGAGGATGCTCTTAAGGTTTAATAGTTTCCTTCCTTTACGCCATGTCCTCCCAGGTTCCACAGTCTCCCTTCTCCAGGTTGACCACCGCCAACGGGCCCCACCCATTCCTGAGCCCTGCGCCGGGCTCCCCTCACCGGGGCTTGCCCACCTCGCCCGGCCTCCTCGCTGTAACTCTGCACAGCCCTTTGTAGAGGGCGAAGTCACAAAGAAAATGATGACGCCGTCTGTTTCCAGGCCTCCGAAGAAACTAGCATGTTCGACGGACAGGCGGTTATTTTCAGCGTCCACCTTCTTTTCCGTACTGTCTGACTGCCAGGCCTGGTTTCTAGGTGGTCTTCAGGTTGCCCGGTCAGGCTCCAGGAGCACACTCTCCATGGCTGTGCTCCCAACGTGCTCCATGCCTGCGGTGGTGAGCTGCTGGCCTC